CGCCCCCTGCGGCCCAGGAGGAGTCAGCTCCGATGTAATCACTGCATCACGCTTCAAAGCCACCGAGCCAGCTCCTAATGGGGGGCAGCAGGTTTCACTTACCTTGCCTGGCCGCCTGCCCAGGGCAGATGGGATGCAGCTGGGGGAGGCCCAGCCCCTCCCCTCTCCTCCCTCCCCTTCGGAAATCGTTGTCTCCTTGTTCACCTCCCTTCACCCTTCCTCTGGCTGGACACTGAGACTGGCGGTAGGGGAAGCGGTTCTCCAAGGCAGGAAAAACGAGCACTCGCTAACAGAGCTTTGCAACCACACCTCTGCCTCTGCCCCCCAAGCACAGAGTCTGCAGTGCATGTCCGGAGGGCTGCCGGGGGAGGGGGTGACAGCGAAGGGCAGAGTGCTGCCTGCCCCTCTGACATGCCGGTCTATCCTCCCAAACGCATTGGGGTGAAGGCTGGGGTGGGGGTGCCTGGAACGGAGAGGAGGGGTGAACAGACATGTGGAGGGCCCTGTGCGATCTGGTGACCAGTTGGGGTACCCCTGCTTCCTTCTGGGGGTTCCTGGGCAGTGGCTTCACTTCTTTAAGCCTCAGTCTCTTCACCTGTGAAATGGCGATCCCCGCACCTGCTTCATGGCAGCGGGGATTGAGGGAGATAATTGTGTGACTCTCCCAGCCCATAGGACGTCTCCAGAAATGTGAGTTTTCATCTCTGCCGTCCCATTTCTGCTCGGAAGTGGGTTGGGCTGCAGGCTGGCTCCCTGGGGATGGACCAGGGAAGCGTGAGCCGTGCAGTGAGAGATCCCCATGAGACGGAGAACAGGGTGTGTGTGTAAGGAGCTGGTCTTCCTGAAAGTGCGTGGCAGAGGGGTGGGGACATGAATAGGGGAGGGGCAGACCCATCTCAACTCCTGACAATGCAACGCGACTCACCACTCCCATTCCCAGCTCCACATGGAACGGCAATGACTTTCTCCACCTTTCCCCTTAGGGTCACTGTCAGGCTCAGGGAGCCTTGGTGTATGGGCGGTGGGGGGCCCTCTATTTGTGCAACTCTGTCATGGGATATGGTCCTGGGGGCCCTCCCACGAAAACAGCTGCCCCCTTGATGCTGCCTGTCTGATCCTATTGCCGGTCAGCTCCGGAGCCCACTCCTATGCCCACCCTACCGCAAGTGCTAAGGATTAGAGGCAAGGGAGCTGGGTCAGGGAGAAATTTTAAAAAAAAAAAAAAATATATATATATATATATATATATATATATATATATATATATATATATTTGATTTCAGAGAAAGGATGGATGAAGCAGAGATAGAAACATCAATGATGAGAGAGAATCATTGATTGGCTGCCTCCTGCATGCCCGCTACTGGGGATAGAGCCTGCAACGCAGACATGTGCCCTGACCGGAATGGAACCGTGACCTCCTGGTTCATGGGTTGATACTCAACTACTGAGCCACACTGGCCGGGCTGGGGAGAAATTTCTGAAGGACACTCATGTTTGAGGCCCAGGGTTGTGATTCAGGCAGGCAGAGGCTCTGTAGGGCCTCTGATATTGCTCCAAGGAAAAGGGACGGATCCATTAGGAGCAGGAATCCCTGCTGCTTGTGATGGTGCAGATGCAGGGAGGCAGGCGGTGGTGGTGGCCATGGCCCTGGCAGCTGTGAGGATGATGAGGATGGTGGAGACGATGGTGTGGCAGTCATGGCAGCGATGGGGAAGATTGCGGGAGTAGGAGTGATGGCAGCGAAGCTGTGGTGTTGCCGGTGTCGATGCTGACGTCATGGTGACGGTGTTCATGGTGGTGCTGGTTTTGGTGTAGGCGGCTGTGATGGTAGTAACAGTGGTGGTGATTGTGGTCATGGTGGTGGTCCCAGCAGAGGAGCATTCTGATCACAGCTGTGCCATCTACAGAATGGCCAAGCCATGGTGTCACATCCTAAAATAATCCAAACACATCAAATACCTAAACACACCAGAACATCAGCTCCTCATGAGCAGCTGCTATTGTCACCGTTGTGACCCAGTGCCTAGAACAGTGTGTGCCCTATATTGCGTGCTCAGTAAACACGCGTTGAATGCGTCAAAGGGGCTGGAGTCTCTGTGATGAACATTGTCACCTCATTTGTTATTCACCATGCCCATTCGTGATAGGATCTTTTTTAAAATTAATATATTTTTATTGATTTCAGAGAGGAAGGGAGAGGGAGAGATAGAAACATCAATGGTGAGAATCACTGATCAGCTGCCTCCTGCAAGACCCCCATTGGGGATCAAGCTTGAAACACAGGCATGTGCCCTTGACCGGAATCAAACATGAGACCCCTCAGTATGCAGGCCGAAGCTCTATCCACTGAGCCAAACCTGTTTCGGCAGGATCTTTTTTTAATTCCCATTTTATAGATGAGGAAACAGAGGCAGAGATGACTTAACCTGCCTGAAACCACCCAGGAGTCAGCCATGCGGGGGCAGGAGGTCGGGGGAGCTGTGTAGGCATTTAGAGCCAGGCTGGTCTGACTCTCCGTTCAGTGCTCTTTCCTCACGTTCTCTGCTCTCTGCGGAGCCACCCTCCCCGCCAGCACTCAGCATTTCACCGTGGCCTTGTGTGGGGGCTTCCTCATAGAAACCCTGCTAATAATAGTAACAATTGCTGCTTGTGATTGTTCGAGTAAGGCTTAAATGATCAAGACCGTGGAAATTATTAATAACCCAGGCTCAGCCATGGTAGGGTGGGTCATATTAGATTGTGTCGAGATGGATAACCTTGGCAATAATAGTAACTGGGATCATAAATTAATAACAGGAGTATTTAAATTAATGCCACACCATGTATACCCACAGTAGTAAGCAGCTCAGTGCTGCTGTTAGGGCTAATATTGCCCCTTCCTGCCTTCCACGAACTCAGCTGAAAGGGAAGGAGGGGCCATTAAAGCCGAGGGGAGAGGAAGCAGCGCAGAGGCGGGTCCCTGTCTCGGGGGAGGGGCCCCTCGGGGACTTCTGAAGATGGACTGGCTTCCTGGCCTCTTCCGCCAGCCACAGCCGTGCACAATGTCTACCTCTCCTTCCTGGGTCTGCCCCAGCTTAGTTGTTGCCCAGGAAAGAAATTCACGGGGCAGCCCTGACCAGTATGGCTCAGTGGATAGAGCGTAGGCCTGCGGACTCAGGGGTACCAGGTTCGGTTCCGGTCAAGGGCATGTACCTCGGTTGCAGGCACATCCCCAGTAGGGAGTGTGCAGGAGGCAGCTGATCGATGTTTCTCTCTCATTGATGTTTCTAACTCTCTATCCTTTTCCCTTCCTCTCTGAAAAAAAACCACACACACACACAATAAAATATGTTCTAAAAAAAGAAATTCACGGGGCTAAAAATTCCCCTCTGAATGAATGAATGAATGATCTGCAGCTGATCTAGGAAATCACCTACCAACTGCCAGCATGTCCTCTTCACAAGTGCACTGATCTCTCCTTCCTTCCAGTAACATGGGAGATTAGCACTATTTTTTTCCCCCAAAGCCAAAACTGAGGTACACACACACACACACACACACACACACACACACACACACACTTACACCTATACACAAACACACATGCTCAAGATCAGGGCGCTGGCATGGACTTTGTAGACATGCCCCCCTCACATGCTACAGGGTCTTCATATCTGGGGACCAGGAAAGTGGGGGGGGATGGGCAAGGGTGAGCATCAAGGTGGTGGTAGGGGCTTCCCATCGATAGATGTGGGCACGTTCCCTGGGTTGCTGAGCCTATGACTTGGACCTGTCAAGGCTTCTGGGACACGGTGAGTGTGGGATGATAACACAGCACATGGATGTCAGTGCCTCTGACCGCTTTTCCATTTATTCTCTTCTACTGGCTTTACTGGGCATGTACTGTGCACCAGGCGTTCCAATAAGAAACCACAGCCATCAGCTAATGGACACATTTGGCCTAGTACAGGTATGTGGCTGAGATACACCTGTGTGTTTGTGTATGGATGTAAGTGTGTGTGTATGTGTGCGCGCGCGCGGACTATACACAGGGGGCTTGTGTGAAGGTGACTGACTGTACATGCACACATGACTGTGTGAATGTGTAGGTGAGCATGCGTGTTTGTTATGACCACACGTGCAATGAGTGTGTGTGTGTGTGTGTGTGTGTGTGCTTGAGTGTGGAGGTGCACACACATAGGTAGGACGTGCGGGTCTACATGAGTGCATGAGGATGGTCTGGGCATATGTGGTACATAAGTATCAATAGATGTATGTGGGCTTGAGACTGTGTCTTCCTGTGTTATGAGTGCACACGTGTGATCCCTTCAAACCCATCATTTGAGAATGATTTCGGGATGGACTCCCCTGGAATGCCCCCCCTCCGGGTCATTCAGGTAGCCACCTGCTACTCTTCCCTTCCCTTCCCCCAGGCCTTTGCACTGGGAAGGGGCAGAGGGAGGGTATGGGCCCGAAGAGGAAGGGCAGGGCGGGCAGGGGGCATCACACCAGGAAGGCTGGGCAGAGAGCAGCACACCAGGAAGAAGCTGGAGCCAGACGCTGGGGATGGAGGGCAGAGGAAGATGGGTAAGACAGTGTGTCCCCGGGTGGGCGCAGCCGGAGGGGAACGGGAGCCGCCCTAGCCCAGGGCGCACAGTATCCGGACAGACGTGCCCTCGGGCGGGCGGGCTGGCACTCTGGGTGCCGGGGCGAGGTGAGGGAGCGGCTCTGAGGGCCAGGGAGATGGGAACCGGCCGCAGCTCGCCGCACACCCTCTCCTCCCCTGCACTCCCCTCCCGGAGGCAGCGAGCAGGCGGGCACGGTTCCGGGGGCGGGCGGGCGGGGCGGGGCGGAGGCGGGGCCGCCGCACTGGCTTCTCCGGCCCCTCCCGCCCGCAGCCAGAGGGAGCGGAGCCTCCGCCAGCGCCGGGGGGCGGGTGCGGAGCGCGGCGAGCCCTCTTGGTCCGCAGCGCGCAGGGCGGACTGACTGGAAGCCGGCGCGGCCGCGGGAGGCGGACGATGGGGGCAGGTGCCGCCGGCTGCGCCATGGACCGGCCGCGCCTGCTGCTGCTGCTGCTGGGGGTGAGTGCCGCCGGCGGGGACCCCGCTCTCCTTCCCGGGACCGAAGCCCTGGGGGTCCGGGTCTCCCCGAGGGAACACAGAACCGAGCGCTGGGCTCCCCGATGCTGGGATGGAGGGCGGGAGGGGAGCTCCGATGCCCGGGCCCACGGAGGCGCGTCCGGGTCCTCAGGGCGCAGAGAAGACCCGGAGGTCCGGGGCGGAGGCGCGCCCGGATGGATGCGGGCGCTCGGGTACCGGGGCGGGTGGTGCGGAGGCGCTGGGAGGGTCTCCGAGGAGGGTCTCGCGGTTCCCGGAGCCCGGGGCTCTTTGGGAGAGGGCGCTTGAATGCCAGCACCTCAAGGCGACTCTCCCCGCACCCCCTCCCAGCATTTTGTCTTCTGGGGGGTCGTGGGACAGAACCCAGGCTGGAGAAGGACGAGGGATGCCGCCGCGGGGACTAGGGATGCGAGGAGGGGCTGGAACAATGGGGAACGACCGAAGGGACCCACCGGGCAGCGGACAATGAGGACTGGCCAGACAATGGGGGGAGGGGCGCGGGAGGCATCGCTCCGGGGGGTGGGGGTCGTCGGTGGAAGAGAGAGAAGTGGGTTAGGTAAGGCCGAAAGGGATGGCGGCGAGGGAGGGAGGGAGATGGGGGTAAAAGGAAGGAGGACGGAGGAGGGAGAGCGGCCCCTAAGGGGGTCGGGACCCCACGGGTCCGCCGAGGGGCCGTGGGTGGCGGAGAGGAGCCGAGGAGGGGACGGTGCCCGCTCCCGTCGCATGCTCTCTCGCGGCCTCGCCTGGATGACAAATGCCGGAGGCTGGGGAGGGAGCGCCCACCTCATCGGGGCAGACCTTCTCCCCGGCCACGGGCCGCCCCGCAGCGTTTCGCCCCGGGGTTTGAAGGAGCGCGGCAGGCGGGGAGGGATGGAGCGGGCGTCGTCCGACCGGGCCTGGCGGCCGCCCCGTCTCAGGTGCAGAGCAGAGCGCCGGGCGCTCCGGGAGGGAAGGTCCCGGCAGCTCGCAGCCCGGGGTCGCGCAGGCGGAGGCGGCCCCCAGGGGGCGCTGCGAGACGAGGGGTGCGCCCTCCGCAGCTGCGGGCGCCGCTGGGGCTGCGCACCCCCCCTCCCCCCCCCCCATTAAGTTAAGCGGCCGGAGCGTCGCGCCCGCGGGTCCCTCTGCTCAGCGCCCGGGCGGCTGGGGACTTTGAGGTGAAGACGCCGAGCACTGAATGAGACAGAGGTGCCCGGACGCCCCGGATTCCGTGGGGGCGAAGGGCTGCGGGTCCTCTTAGGCACCCAAGTCCGCCCGGTACTTCAGACAAAACACTCAGAATGGGTGGCGGGTGCGCGGCCAGGAGCGGGGCGCCCCGGGAGGTTTGGCCCTGGAGGAGGTGTCCTCCCTCTCCCTGACCTCTTCACCCCTCCTCTGGGCATCGCGTCCCAGGTCCTCCTTTTACCGACACCGAGATGGGGGCTCTGGGAGTTTAAGCTACTTGGCTAGGGTCCCACCCGCGGGTTGTGCCAGCGCCCTGACCCCCAGTCTGCGCCGCCCGCCTTCGGAGGGGCAGCCGGCGCCCAGGCAGGGGGGGGGGAGGGGAGCTGGATTCTCGGCGGCGGGGCGGGCGGACCCCAACCCGAGCCGGGCCAGCGGCGGGAGTCAGGCTGGGGGACAGAGACGTTCTTCGGTGGGTACCTGTGGCTGCGTCCGAGGGTGCGGGCGTCACCGCGGGTACCCCTGCTTCTCCCCCGGGAGGGGTGCAGGAGGGGGGCTGGGGGTACGGTAGTAGGTGGATCCCGGAGGGGCGCACCGGGGGGCGCCGGACCGGTGCCAGAGGGAGTGTCCTCCGAGTGGAGGCGGAGAGTTGGGCGTGGAGGGCCTGGGGCCGGTGGACCCGCGCAGATGTGCCGCCAGCGGCCCCTGTGCGGCTCTCGCCTCCGCCGGCCGCGGCTCCGCCGGTCGCGGCTCCGCGCCCCGCGCCCCGGGCTCCTGCAGGGCCAGGCAGCGCTGAAACCGGAGCGCGTCCCGGCGGGTCTGGGCGGTAATGGAGGCATTTGTCATCCAGGCGTCTGTAACCGGAGCCGCCGCCCCTAATGCGCCTGATAGGGAGGCAGCGAGGGCAGCGCACAGGAGGACGCGGGCGGCCGGGCGGGGCCGGGAAGAAGGGGTTCCCTCCCGGCGGTACCATCCCGGCCCGGTCACCTGGGTAGACTCTTCCCTGGGGAGGCGGGGGGGGGGGGATAAAATTGGTTGAAAGCCTACTATGTGCCACGCACTGCCCGGGTAAGTCCTCTGGCGTTGTTTGACCCTCCTAAGGCCCCATCAGCGTAAACTTAGTGGTCCCCGTTTTGCAGTGGATGGAGCTGAGCCTCCCAGACTTCCAGGCACGAAACCAGGCTCCGGGTTAGGAAGCGGCGGAGGCTGTGGAACCAGGGAGGAGGCGTGGCTTGGAGCTCCCTCCATCCTCCCTATGCCGGCCCCTCCCCCCTCTGGATCCTGGAGGGCCTGAGTGGCCCGGAATCACGACACTAGCCCTGGAGGTTGCATCGGTGTCCTGTGCCCACGCAGCACACGCCTCTCAGAGTCTCCACGCAACATCCTCCTCAGGGAGCATGTGCCAGTGCCCCCCCCCACTCCGCGGGTTGCAGCGAGCTCAAAAGACCCTCCCCATACTTGAATATATTTTTAATTGATTTTTTATTTAGAGAGAGAGGAAGGGAAAGGGATAGAGAGTTAGAAACATGGATCAGCTGCCTCCTGCACACACCCTACTGGGGATGTGCCCCCCCCCCCCCAAACAAGGTACATGTCCTTGACCAGAATCAAACCCTTCAGTCCGCAGACTGACGCGCTATCCACTGAGCCAAACCGGTTAGAGCCCCTCCCCATATTTGAAAACTCTTCAACCCCATGGCGTGGCTGATGGCCCCATTCACCTAAAGAACCATTTGCTGAAGCTGTTGTGAACGGATTCAACACACTGAAGGGTTCATAGTCCGTTTTTCCAACTATTTTTTGTGTGTTTTCAATTTTGTCTGATTAAAACACACTTTTTAGATTCTTTTAAAAAATATATATTTCTTTATTGATTTCAGAGAGGAAGGGAGAGGAATAAAGAGAAACATCAATGATGAGAGAACCATGATCAGCTGCTCCTGCACGCCCCCTACTGGGGATCGAGCCCACAACCTGGATTGTGCCCTTGGCCAAAATCGAACTTGAGACCCTTCAGTCTGCTAACCTGCGCTCTATCCATTGAGCCAAACTGGCTGGGCCATTTTCTAGATTCCTAAATCAGTTTATCTAAGAGTACTTCCACCTTTCAGTTTCTTGAAAGCCTTGAAATGGCAAAATAAATAAATAAGAAGACTGCAAACATTTTTTTAATGGGATGAAATCATCCAGACGGGAAATGAATAAATGTAATAATGTAAATTTCAGGCAACTGCATCTATCATTTTGGTAAATTGGTCATTTTGGAACAATTAGCCTGGATCCTAGTCATCCCTCCCGGCTTCCCAAGATTGCCCTGGCTTGAACCAACAGAAGGTGTGGGCTGGGGCCAAGCATCACGCCACATAGCAGGGCACTCTGTGGGCCTCAGTTTCCCCATCTATCAGAGAGGAGATGAAGGCAATCCCTCAAGTCTTTCCCCCTCAGCATCTTGGCTTCTAGGATCGCTGTTTGGGTGACATTTCCTCTCTCCCCTGGGACTGTGGTTCCCCACAGAATCATGGACCATGTCTCCTCGGAAACTCTTATTTCAACGCTCAGTGCATAGTTGTTGAATTACTTAACTTTAAGAAGAGCAATTACCCATCCTCCTTTGGTCCCCATGCCGCCCTCAGACTCCCTGTAGCGAAGACTTGCCCCCGATTCTTAGGTGGTTTCCTCTTTTGGGGGGTGGGTAATGCTCCCCTCCCACCACCTCCCACCCAGGCTCAGCAGCTTGCTCTCCCCAAGACAAGATGCTTCTCTGATACCTGACAGTTAATTAACTCCTACTGTCCACCACACAGATTTGCATAAATGATTTCATTTCATTTTCACAGCAACCCCGAGCAGCAGATACTAGCGCCCAGTGTGGCCAGGGGTGGGGGTGGGGAAGAGGGAAGCTCTGAGGCTCAGAAAGATTGAGAATTTACTCAAAATAACGTACTAGTAAGGAGCAGATCTAGGCTGTTTTGAAATAGGGAACAGAAAACAAGCACGGGAAATACATGGTCACTAATTACATGGACTCGATTCCAAATGCAAGACTTGGGAGAGGAGAAAGGACCACCAGCTGCCGCAGGAAGAGCAGCTTGGAGGAAGAGGGGATGTATCTTGGTTGTGGACTGCCCCTTTGATGACTATTATGCAACATACAGATGGCGTATCGTAGACACGTACACTTAAAACCTGTATGATCTTACCCAGCCAGCATGGCTCAGTGATTGAATGCCGACCTATGAACCAGGAGGTCACAGTTCCAATGCTGGTACGGGCTCAATCTCCAGTCGGGTGTGCTGGGGGCAGCCAATCAATGATTCTCTCTAATCATTAATGGTCCTATCTCTCTCTCCTCTCCCTCTCTGAAATCAATAAAAAATTTTTTTAAAGAAACCTATATGATCTTATTAACCACTGCTGTCCCAATAAATGTAACTAATGAATAAATAAAATCACTTACCAATGAGGAAATAAAAGGAAGAAAGATCTTGGAAAAGAGAGTTCCCCAAGCGTATGAACACCTTACTCATTCATGTCATGCTTCCAGCAACCCTATGCGGCAGGTCCGTTCACATGACCTAATGCAGAAGACACTGAGGCACAGAGAAATCCAAGACTGGCCCCAGGTCGCCTAGCGCTAAGTGATAAGCAGGGATACGGAGCCACAGAGGCCGCTGAGGACGAAGGCAGTGCAGCTAGCTCACACTGTCTACTCTGAGAATTATCCCTCCCAGTTAGCCTCCTGACACTCATTTCAGACACCTGCCTGCCAAGGCTACTGCCACAGTTCCTAAGACCCTATAGACCTAGGAGGGTAGAATGGTGCGGGAGGGGCATGCAGGTCACACTCTGGTAGCAGCAAGAGTTGCCCACTGATATCTCGGCAGGAAGGGAGGAGACAGAAAAGGTACTTTATTTTATATTTTTAAATATATTTTATTGATATTTTTACAAAATGGAAGGGAGAGGGATAGCAAGTTAGAAACATCCATGAGAGAGAAACATCGATCAGCTGTCTCCTGCACACACCCTTCTGGGGATGGGCCCGCAACCAAGGTACATGCCCTTGACTGGAATCGAACCTGGGACCCTTCAGTCCGCAGGCCGACACTCTTATCCACTGAGCCAAACCGGTCAGGGCAGAAAGGGCATTTTAACAAGCTGACAGGGGAACTGAAAGAGACAGTCATGTGGTAGTAATTTGGGATAAAGAGCACCAGGGCTTCCCTGCACAGCAGCCCGGTGTGATCACTGAGTCCCTGAGTCCTGGGGAGACCATGGAGATACGTTCCAGTCCGGGAAAGGTGCGCCATTCCGGGGAACACGGAAACCATGGGGTGATGGGAGCAGCAACGCTTTCGCTGTCGGGAAACTCGGCCATCCAGAAGCCATCCCGCCGATTCTAGTTCAGTGAGGTCCCTGGCAGTGCCAGGGTCCCTGTCAGGCTCTGGGACCTCGGCCCAGCCCTCAGGGAGTTGACAGTCTAGTGGGGGGTCGTGGGAAGTGTCAGAGCTGACACCAATAGTCCACAGGGAGAACGCGCAGGCCCGCCTGATGGGGGGGGGGGGAGGAGAGGGGGAGGGGGAAACACTGGCCCACTTCCTTGAGGAAGTAATATTTAAACGGAGCCGAAAGGATGAAAAGAAATCCAAACAGACTCTTCTATAATCTCACGAGCCTCCTGGGGAAAGCCTGTATCTGGGGCTCCCCCTGCCCCCAAGACTTCTGGTCTGCAGATGTTCCCGGCGCTGTGTCCCTGCCACCTGGGAGGAGAGGGTGGCGACACCCGAGGTCGCCCTCCTGTGCTGCCAGCACCCCCCCTGCTGGTCTCTGGAGGACCACAGGTGCCTCCTAGACCCATCCCATCTGTCCACGCCCCAGCCTCCACCTAACCCTGGTGAGATCTCAGGGTATCTTAAAGGACTGGAGGGAGGGGAGTGTTTTTTGTTGTGTGTGTGTGTGTGTGTGTGTGTGTGTGTGTGTGTGTGTGTGTTTAACAGAGGAAGAGAGAGGGATAGAGAGTTAGAAACACCGATGAGAGAGAAACATCCATCAGCTGCCTCCTGCACACCCCACACTGGGGATGTGCCCGCAACCAAGGTACACGCCCTAGACTGGAATCAAACTTGATACCACAGGCCGATGCTCTATCCACTGAGCCAAACCGTTTAGGGTCAGGAGGGGGGTGATCTTGGCCATGGCCTGGTCAGCGAGAAAGCAGAGGGGTGTCCGAAAGGACCTTGAGGGCTCCCTCTGCTCCCACGACCTGAGAGCCCTCATTTCCTGTGGATATCCAGGGGGAACTGCGAGGTCTGGGGCCGGGGAGACGGGCTTGGGAGTTTTATTAGACGTGAAGTATTTTTTTTTTTTTAAGGAACAGAAATATAAAGCAAGCTGCCAGCAGCCCCTCCCTCCGGGGACTCTGGTGCTAAATCGTTCCATCCACGAGCAAAGATGTTGCAGAGCCGTTCCCGCTGGCTGCAGGGGGGCGGGGAGTGGGGAGGGCGGGCGACTGGAAATCAAACCCGCGTGGCGCTGGCTGCCGGCGATGACAGCCGCCACTTCCTCATCATTGATAACAGGCGACCCCTCCTCACATCTTGGCGCCACGCTCTGGCCCGGCCCCGAGCGGCCGCCATCGCTGCCCCTGAGGAGGGATGGAGACTCGGAGAGGGAGAGCCGGGCAGGTCTGAGCTCCCAAGGCAGAACCAGGATGTGAGCCCAGACCCCACCCCTCGGCCTCCTGCTCTTGGGCACAGATGCCTCCTGCCGGATATAGAAGGTGCCGGATGGCAGAATGGAGGACCCGGGGCAGGGAGGGCCCGCCAGCCTTCGTTAGGGAAAGGCTCCCCTCCGCCCTGCAGGTGTGCAGCTCAGCGCGTGGCATTTGGACCACATTTCAGCTGCCAGTTGCCTCCTTGGCTGGACGCCCTGTGCGTGAGCTGCCACCTGAAGGCCCTCCCCTGGGCCTCAGCCTCCTTCTCCGTGGGGTGTGTGTCCTTGAGGTGCCCAGAGCTGCTGTAACCCCGAGATGAACTGTGCCGGGGCCAGCCTGGGAGGCTCTGACCTCACCCCACCCCCACCCCCAGCAGCCTGCAGGGGTGCAGTGCCCCCCGCTGCCTGCCTTCCGGCCAGCTTTGATGTGCCTCATACCTCCCTGGTGAGCTCACCCGGGCCCAGGTGGTTCCAATAGAGGGCTCTGGGGAGGGGCGTGGGATGCCTCAGACGATACCCCCTCTCCTTTCCCTCGCCGGTCTGACCTCCTGCTCTCCCCGACCCAGGTGTCCTTCGGAGGCGCCCAGGAGGCGTGCCCCACCGGCCTGTACACCCACGGCGGCGAGTGCTGCAGAGCCTGCAACCTGGGGGAGGGCGTGGCCCAGCCGTGTGGGGCCAACCAGACCGTGTGTGAGCCCTGCCTGGACAGTGAGTACCGGCGGCAGGTGGGGAGAGGGAGGGGGCAGGAGTGGAAGGACTTACAAGTCCTCTGCCTCAGGGCAGGGTCTCCTGCCCACAACTGCATGGGCATCGGGCATGGGTCTGCTGCAGGATAGGAGGCAGGAAGGGGAAGCTGAGAATGGATGAGAGAGGTATGCAGAGGAAGGAGGGGACCTCACGGGGGACCCCAGGGGGAGCCCCTTCCCAGCCCCCACGCAGAGAAGCCTGGCAGAAGAGAGTGGCCAGGTGGGAGGAGTAGCTGACACGCAGACGAGCTAAAAATACCATCAGCGCTGCAAAATCAATGGCTGCCACTTACCCCGGTGTTTTTGGGGGAGGGGCGGAGGATCAAATGCTGGCTGCCCTGCGGACTGACCTTGGGGGATCCTGGGAGGGTGTGGCTCCCCTCCTCCCAGGCCAGCTGCTCTCCGGCTCTGACTGAGGACGAAGAGCTTTCCCCAGACAGCAGGGGAGGGGGTGGAGTGCTGGAGGGATGTGCTCCTAGTTGGGAGAGGGGCACCGTGGCCATTTCTACCTGAGATTTCCTCGGGGAGCGGGGAGAATCCTGTCTTCCTATTGGGTGAGGGAGGCCACGGGGTCTGGAATCTGTGTGCTGTGGGGTGAGAGGGATCAGCCCTGCGGGATGGCCCAGGCCTCCGTTGCTGCCTTCAGGCTATGGGCTCCGTGCTCTGCTGCCGGCCCTGCCCAGAAGGCTTTGCTCACCATCAGGTCAGACCTGCCTTTCTCTTGCTGCACGGCCCATCCCGAGGGCCCGTGGTGCTCATACTCAGATGATTCCATAATCAGGCTGGGAACCAGGTACAGCCACTGGGACCTCTGAGGCACCTGCCAGCCTCGTCTTACCTCTGGCTGCCTCCCCACCACCTCTACCAACTCCTGCGTGCCCAGCCAGCCTGGCTCAGTGGGTGAGCGTAGATCTGTGAACCAGGAGGTCACTGTTCGATTCCCAGACAGGACACATGCCTGGGTGGTGGGCTCGATCCCCAGGGTGGGGCGTACAGGAGGCAGCCCATCAATGATTCTTTTCTTTAAATATATTTTATTGATTTTTTTTTTTTTTTTTACAGAGAGGAAGGGAGAGAGATAGAGAGCTAGAAACGTCGATGAGAGAGAAACATCCACCAGCTGCCTCTTGCACACCCTCTACCAGAGATGTGCCCGCAACCAAGGTACATGCCCTTGACCGGAATTGAACCTGGGACCCTTCAGTCCGCAGACCGACGCTCTACCACTGAGCCAAACCGGTTTCAGCGCATCAATGATTCTTACCATTGATGTTTCTATCTCTCCCTCTCCCTTCTTTCCTGAAATCAATAAAAATAGATTTCAAAACAAACAAACAAAAAAAAAACGCATCTGCACACCTCTCCATCCTTCAGACAACCACAACGCCCTGTTCTGTTTTCCTCCCTGTGCTTCCGAATCCTATAAGCCCAGCCCCAGCAGAGGGATGCCTGGGACTGGGTGGGGAGACTGGACATCCTGTAGTGTTCTGTCATCTGGCCACCGGCCCTGGCCCTGGCCTAACAGGGCTTCCATCCCAGGGAAGGGTTGGCCAACTATTGCCTATCCCGAAAGCTCCCAGGATTACCTCTCCCATTTCCCAGACTCTCCTTCCTGGACCCTAAGTCTCCCAGGAAAGGCCCCCACTCATCTTCCGAGAAAGCAAAGGGTGGAGTAGAGGAACCAGGGAGGGCGGTTCTGAGGATCCGGAGGGGAGCACACTCAGAGGTGGTGGCAGGAATCCTCCCTCCCATTTCCTCCTGTCTCCCCCCCCCCCTTTACTCCTCCCCCTCTCTCTCAGCAGCTGCGTTAACAGGCTGCCTTTACAAGCCCACTTTATGGAATGGAGACCCCAGCGGACTTTCTATCCTCAAAACGTTTCCACAAGGAAGCCCATTAAGCCCCCGCCTTCATTCTCTGCCAAAAAGACCACATTTTTCCCACCCCTTAAAACCCTTTCCCAGGAGTTTGATGCTCGTTTGCTGTATTTTCCCATAAGCCAGGCCGTCCCTTTCCCTTTGGGGGGACTGTACCCCTCCCTGCCCCCCACCACATGCCCATCAGATAGGAGCCTCTTGTTTATTTAAACTGGAAGCCAGTCCTGCCTCGGCCGATGGTGTTTGAAGTCCTTTCTGCTGTCTGACTGTATCCCTGCTGCTGAAGCTCACCATGCTCATCACTGCCCAGCGGGGGCCCGGCCTTTATAGATCCCTGAGGAGTGTCAGACGCTTTACAGTGGAATCCCGCTTACTCCTCACCACCGCCCTGTGCGTGGAGGTCTTGTTCCCTGTTTTACAGAGAAAGAAAAACGCTCAGAGAGGTTAAGTAAAGCACCCAGAGTCACACAGCTGAAAAGTGATGCAAGCAGTTTTGAATCCAGATCTGCCTGATTCCTAGGAAGAGAAATCCAGGGGTCCCTCTGCCAGACTGACTCTGTTCTCATCTCTCCCCCCCCAAACCCCCCCCCGCGTTTTTTCTTTTTTTTTTTAATATATATTTTATTGATTTTTTACAGAGAGGAAGAGAGAGGGATAGAGAGTTAGAAACATCAATGAGAGAGAATCATCGATCAGCTGCCTCTTGCACACCCCCTACTGGGGATGTGCCCGCAACCAAGGTACATGCCCCGGACCGGAATCGAACCCGGGACCCTTCAGTCCGCAGGCCGACACTCTATCCACTGAGCCAAACCGGTTTCGGCCATCCCGCGTTTTTCCCCTTTCACTTCGATCTGGCCTTCTTCTTTGCTTCTTTACACCCCGCCCCCATTCCCGCCCCCATCCCCCACCCACCAAGTGCTCCAGGCTGCCTCTTGTGCCTTAGAGAGGGTTGTGATCAGACCCCACACAGGCCTGATTTCCCTTCAGTGGGGTCTGACGCTCTCTCTGCTTCTGCTTCTGCTTCTGCTTCCTCACCTGAGCAGACCTGCCCGGGTTCTCAGGTTGCTGACGCCCTGCTCTTCCTCCCCGGGGAGCAAGGAGGCATCCTCCGGGGTTCGATGGGCACGAGCTCTCCAGCCTGGGCTGGAAGAGGTGCAGAGACTCTGCTCTGGGCCTCCTCTTCTCTGCACAAGAAGGGGGAGACCTGGCACCCCTGGCGCCCCTCCCCCCATTATTGAGAGCATGCATTAGGCGTGAGCCTGGACATCTGCCCTCTGTGCCCTTGGAAAGGGCAGAGGACGACATAGGCCAGTCCTTTCTTCCCAGCTCCAGTCCCTCCTGCTGCACCTGAACTTGCTTGCCAGGATTCCCATCCCTGCCCTCCAGAGCCAAGCCCTTTGGCAGCATGGGGGAGCTCCGTGGGTGGAAACTTAAGCTGTCCAACCCTAGTGACTCCCATCCGGGCCACACCTGACCCCTCCCCCGCCCCCCCCCCCCCCCCACATGTGGAAGGACAGCTGAGGCAGGAGGCTCCACCGTGGTGGCCCCTGCCTGGGCCGGGTTCGCAATCCAGCGCTGGCCTGCGGGGCGAGCCGGGTGGGAACCACCTATAAATTACTCCTTAATCTTGCTGGGAAACTCTCTAAGAGAATTTGCCAAGTAATTTACTTGCACAATTTACCTGTAATTTACCGTGTGGTTACCCTGCCCAGCCCCAGGGCCATGGCCTCCCCTCCTGGAGCAGGCCCTCCTTCCCAATGGGCTGCCCCAAGCTTTCCCAGACTTGGGATCAGGGTCCCGAGGGGAGAGAGGGTGGGAACCCACGTGGGGGCGAGGCTGAGCCAGGGAGTCAGCGCCCTGGCAGAGGCTGGGGGTGACGAGGGGGGAGGACCTGCAGCCCTTGCGTTCCAGCTGCCCCAAAGGCAGGCGACTGACATCTGGGCCCTCTGCCCGCAGGCGTGACGTTCTCGGACGTGGTGAGCGCCACGGAGCCCTGCAAGCCGTGCACGGAGTGCGTGGGGCTGCAGAGCATGTCGGCGCCCTGCGTGGAGGCGGACGACGCCGTGTGCCGCTGCGCCTACGGCTACTACCAGGACGAGGGCACGGGCCGCTGCGAGGCGTGCCGCGTGTGCGAGGCGGGCTGGGGCCTCGTGTACTCCTGCCAGGACAAGCAGAACACCGTGTGCGAGGAGTGCCCCGACGGCACCTACTCCGACGAGGCCAACCACGTGGACCCGTGCCTGCCCTGCACCGTGTGCGAGGACACCGAGCGCCAGCTGCGCGAGTGCACGCGCTGGGCGGACGCCGAGTGCGAGGGTGAGCGCGCCGCGGCCCAGGTTCCCGCTACAGGGCCGCCGCAGGCTGGGGGGCGCCCCCTGGGGGCCCGGAGGGCCAGGCCCGGCGTGAGCAGGAGCCGCCTGCAGAGACCTGCTAGAGGGGTGGCTCCCCATCCTTCTCACCCAAGGCCCCCTCCCCAGCTCCCTCCTTTGAGCTGAGCGTTGGAAAGCTATCCTCCTCCTCCTCCTCCTCCTCTTCCTCCTCCTCCCCTCCCCCCTCCTCCTCCTCCTCTTCCTCCTCCTCCTCCTCTTCCTCCTCCTCCTCCTCCCCCCTCCTGTTTCTCCTCCTCCTCCTCCTCCTCTTCCTCCTCCTCCTCTTCCTCCTCCTCTTTCTCCTCCTCTTCCTCCTCCTCTTCCCCCCTCCTCTTTCTCTTCTTCCTCTTCCTCCTCCTCTTTCTCTTCTTCCTCCTCCTCCTCCTCCTCCTCCTCCTCCCCCCTCCTCTTTCTCCTCTTTCTCCTCCTCCTCCTCCTCCTCCTCCTCCTCCCAGGCCGGCAGCGGGCATGGGGCAGGTGGCAGAGAAGCAGCTGGGAAGTGGCCGCTGTGACCAGGGCACGGGGCCGGCTTCCTGAGCCGGAAGAGGGGCGCCAGGACCCAGGAGCGGGGCCCCTCCACAGGGAGGCTGGTCTGGGTCCCTGGTGCCTGTGGTGCTGGGACCTAGGATAGAATCTACCCGGCCCTTGCTACCTGAGGGAGATTCGGTAGAGGCCACTCTGTCCTGGACCCCAGGCTCCTCTCTGGGCTGTGTGTGGGTTAGAGAAGGTGGCCTGTGAGATGGGGGTGGGCGCGAGGGGGTGTCTGCAGGCATTTTTTGTTTATTGAGGATGAAGTTGGCCCCGGGACACCAAGGATGCTGTGGGGGTGGGACTTCAGGGTGGAGGAGGCGTGGCAGGAGCCCCAGGATGAGAGGCCTCAGCCCCCCGCCCGCCCCCAGGGGAGGATGGGAGGGATGGGAGATGGGTGTGCCCCCTGAGCCAGGCCCAGGCCCGGAGGAGTGGGGTGGCTCCTGGGACGGAGGAGGACGCACTGTGGCAGTGAGAGCAGACACGGTCTGGGTCTCTGGTTGGTGACATGTCTGGGGAGATGGCGGGCTTTTCCACTGCAGGGAGAGGCAGGGAAGGCTTTTCTCTCCATCACCCTGTGGCTGGGGGCCCACGGAGCTACTGCCCTGGCCCTCAGGATCCCTCAGTCCCAGCAGGCAGTGCAGCGCCTCCTTAGGGGACCCCAGGTGTGATGGGGGAGACAGCCTTGGCCTCGTCCCATGAGGGAGTCACGTTTCCCAGGAAAGCCCTCGTTCCAGTGGCGGCAGCACAGGCTCTGCCTTCAGGGGTCCCCAGTCAGAAGGAGGAGGTAGTCCCCCTTGTGGGGAGCCTGCAGTCTGACATGGGCTCCCACACGACCTCCCTGCCATGACCTCTGGCTCAGGCGGAGGGGCTGTTCAGTTGGGCTGAGCCCGGTGTGTGTGTCTGTGTGTGTGTGTGTGTGTGTGTGTGTGTGTGTGTGTGTGTGTGTATGTGTGTGTGTGAAGCTTCCCGCTTTGGGCTGGGAGTGGGAGGAGGATGGGGGTACAGAGCTCGGTGGTTCCGGTGGCGATTGCTCTGGGCCAGGAGACAGGCGAGTGGCGCCAGGCACGGGCAGGGAGGGCGGTTCAGCTGCTGGCAACAGGCAGGCGCCAGCACAGCTCCCTGGGCAAGTCCAGGCCGGCTGGTGGGGGCACTTAGTCAGGAGCGCGGTTACAGCAAAGAAAGGGGTGGCTGGGGCAGGGGTGGGCTCTGCCTCTTTGGGGGCATTCATAGATCCCTCCCAGATCGCACCCCCCTTTCCCAGCCGCCCTGAAGGAGGAGGGTACCCCCGGGAGCTGTGTGTACCCTCTGGCCTCGGAAGGGTTAAGTGTGGGCTCGGGGCAGAGGGACCCCTCAGGAAACGGAATTTGATTCATTCTGTTGCCCCTTCCCCTTGGCATTGCACCTTCTCGCCTATACATTTCAGGTGTCAGCTGGTGACTCACCCTCCCTCGGGGGCCCCCCCTCCTTGCCTCGGGAAAGCTGGATTTAGGAGGGATAACCTGGTCCCTCTTTCCACCCCGAGTCTGGCAGCTCCCATTCCGGAAACGGCTGTCAGGACCTGCCAAGGGCTCGGGGGCTGGAATGCCAGTGGACAGGGCCACATCTGGATCTCATCCCCGCCGCCATCAGGGGGTATTGGAGAATGTGGGGAGATGCCCGGGACAGCTCTGTCCTCAGCCTGCTCTGTCCCCCGCCACCCACTCACAGCCCTTCCCTCTGCGCCGGTCTCGGCGATGGTCTGCGTCACCCCACCTTCGGCTTCCGAGTTGGGGTCCTCCCAGGGCTCAGGCTGCCCTGCCAGGTCCCTCGCGGGGCAAAAGGAGCCCCTCCCCGCCCCCCACCAAATGCCCTCTTTGGGGGTATGAAAGACAGGGCTACGTCTCCTCCCACTTCTGCCCCCTCCCTCCCAGGCCTGAGATGGGGGAACGGGGCAGCAGATGGCAGCCCCCTCCCCAGTGCCAGCCAAATGGGTTCCAGATCCCCATCTGGGGGCCTCACCCCTCAGAAGGTGCTGAAAACAGGGCTCTTTGAAGCGTCCTAGTCTGGAGCTGAGAGGCCCAGAGACCATTGGGCAGCTCTGGCTCCAACTTGGGTGGGCAAACTGGGAGCCAGGGAGGCCGAGCCGAAGGCAAGGCGCCTTCCCCATCCGCCCGTCGGTGTGTCCCGTCCGCGTCCCCCCCGCCCGCCCGGGGAGCGGGAGGTGAAGACGGATCGGGGAAGCGGCGATGCCCACACAGGCAGCCCCAGGCAGGCCAGAGCCCACACCCCCAGGAACTGCCCCCAGCCGGGTGACAGAGTGGAAAATCCCACCCACCGGTGCCAGGAGCTGCCTGGGTCCCCTGCCAGAGAGGCTGGCAATCCCCATCTGGCATGAGAAGGCCTAGGTGGGTGGAGGGCACGGCCTCCTTCCCCCCGAGGTGCTGGGCAGTCCCCACTTTCCTCCACCAGCAGCCTGCCTGCTGCCCGGGGAGGGTTCCTGCTATTGATGCTCTTCCCGGCGGCAGGATCAGGGGGTGCGAGGGCCACGCAGGGAGGAGACGGCTAGCCGCTGCCCAAGGACTGGCTGGCAGCAGCTTGTATGCCATCCCCGCCCTGCCCAAGCCTAGAGCTAAGACAACAGAGACTGCCAGCTCTGCGGAGGGGGTTGTGGGGGGGCACTTCCGTAGGACAGGGGTGACTGGGCCATTGGGGCAGCCTCCCCAGAGCGACCCCAGCGAGAGGCTTCCTGGGCTGACGCTCTCTGTGTGCCAGGCTCTGGGCCCCCAGGGAGGAGAATCGATTCTAGAACCTCAGCTGCCTCCGGATGGAAGGGAGCTCAGAGACCATCTCTCTGAATATCCCCGTCCTATGGATGGGGAAACAGAGGGGACCTAGGTCTCCTGACTCCCAGGCTCCTGCTCTCCACCCACATGGGTAAGAGCTGGACACACGAGGCCCTGGAGTGGGCCGGAGACTCGGGACTCAGATCACGAAGGGAAGGGCTGAGGGGGATGGGCGCTCAATCCTGTGGCCGTCCCTCGCAGAGATCCCTAGCCGCTGGACCACACGGGCCACGCCCCCAGAGGGCTCGGACAGCACCGGCCCCAGCACCCAGGAGCCCGAGGGACCTCCGGACCAAGACCCCGTGGCCAGCACCGTGGCAGACGTGGTGACTACAGTGATGGGCAGCTCCCAGCCCGTGGTGACCCGGGGCTCCAGTGACAACCTCATCCCCGTCTACTGCTCCATCCTGGCCGCCGTGGTCGTGGGCCTCGTGGCCTACATCGCCTTCAAGAGGTGAGGGGGAGGGGCGGAGAAAGGGACCTTCGCTCTCGAGGTGGGCTTTACCGTGACCTTGACCTGAAAATGCGCACACTCTTCTAACCCAACCCCAAAGCCAGCTGGTCCTCACTCACCGTCAGCGGCTCCATGCCCGGATGTGGCCGTCAGCAGGCAGGGAGGGGGCTGTCCCCGTCCCTCCTGGGGTCAGCATCACCCACGCCCCCGCGCCCCCCTCTCTCACTCAGCCCGAGCTGAGCGGCACACCGAAGGCTGGGCTCTACCAACCGCCTCTGTCCTCATTCCCTGAACCCCACTGGCCCCCAATGGTACCCGCACGTGCGTGCGTGCGTGTCTTCCCAGCTCACACTTGGGAGGCTGCCGCATCCACATCCAAAAATCCAGGGCTCCCAGAAGGCATTTTAAATATTTAAGTGCATTTTCCATTCCTAAAGAGAAACAAAACATCAAAGGACTATATAGGCCTGTTTGGGGAAACGCAAACAAGAGTAATGACTCGTAAAGCCAAAAGCAAAAGCTCCTTTTTATCTCCTCAAATCCTGCCCCTCTCATCATCGGAATCTGTCTGAGTCCCTTCCAACCACTTTCTGCGCAGTTATAAACACATGCAAATAAAACGTTTCAGTTGGACGATATGTGCAGGTATATATATATATCTTACTAGTACCCTGTTTCTCCGAAAATAAGACAGTGTCTTATATTAATTTTTTCTCCCAAAGTTGCACTAGGCCTTATTTTCAGGGGATGTCTTATCTTTCCATGCGCTAGGTCTTATTTTCGGAGGATGTCTTATTTTCGGGGAAACACGTTATATATTCTACAACTTACTTTTTCACCCATCTCCCTCAGGCGAGCTTTCCTTGGGACACATAGATCATCTGATCATTTCTTTTCTTTTCTTGTTTTTAATATATTTTATTGATTTTTTACAGAGAGGAAGGGAGAGAGATAGAGAGCTAGAAACGTCGACGAGAGAAAAACATCGACCAGCTGCCTCTTGCACACCCTCTACCGGGGATGTGCCCGCAACCAATGTACATGCTCTTGACCGGAATCCAATCTGGGACCTTTCAGTCCGCAGACCGACGCTCTATCCACTGAGCCAAACCGGTTTTGGCAATCTGATCATTTCTAACCCCTCACTCAGTAATGTGGATGGGCCATACTTTATTTAACCAGTTGCCTATTAATGGACATTTGGTTTGTTTGCAGCCTTTTTTTAGTGGTTATAACAGCAGAGAAAGTCCCTGTACTACACGTGTCCTGCACACACGTGCGATATTTTACAAGAGGAGATTGGGAGGGTGGAACTCTGGGAAGTCATTTATTGATGCGTCATTCATTCCAGGAACATTTATTGAACCCTCGCTGTGTGCACTGAGCCCTGAGCGCCCTCTGCCCTCACGGTGCTTTCCGTGTGGGCCAGGCCGCCGCTGTGCAGAGAAAGGGGAACCTCAGGCACTGTGGGGGGTGATAGTTGGGTGCCCACTGTGCCTCTGGCTCACACATCCGATGCCTTAGACACATGGCCAGGGTAGCCCTCCCCCCCCCCCCCCCCGTGTGTGTTTCCCGCCCCCCTCCCGCTGAGGCTGGGCCTGTCTGGCTCCAGGTGGAACAGCTGCAAGCAGAACAAGCAAGGAGCCAACAGCCGGCCGGTGAACCAGACGCCCCCGCCCGAGGGAGAGAAACTGCACAGCGACAGCGGCATCTCCGTGGACAGCCAGAGCCTGCACGACCAGCAGCCCCACACGCAGACGGCCGCGGGCCAGGGTGAGCGGAGGAGGCCGGGCAGGGGCCATGAGACTCTAGGCAGGACTGCCTCTGGGTGGAAGGATGGGAGCGTCGGGGTGAGGGAAGGGGCGAGGGAGATCCTTTTCCCAAAGAAACGGAGGCTTTGACAAACTGGAGCATCCAGACTCATCAAGCTAATTGTCCCCCCTAGGGCTAATGACTCCCCCAAGTGGCTGCAATTAGCCTCCTGCCCTGGACTTCTGGGGAACAAGCAGTTAATTATGTCCCCTAATTAGTGGCCCACAGCCCGGCTCCAGGACACTTGCCACAGCGGAGTCTGGGACTGAGAAGGCTTGTCTCCTCTTCTGCCTTGATTAATTGCCGGCGGACAGGGAGGGGTGAGGGGGCGGAGACAGTGCTGGACTTGGGTGTGGAGGCACAGGAGTCAGCCTCGCCCCCAGACCTCCACAGCTTGCACCCCCCACTCCCCCTTCGATCCAGCACCTCGTCTTGGCCATCCCGCTGCCTGTAGGCCCCGGGTGGGGGTGGGGGCTGGAGGGGGGAGAGTTGCCTCAGCCCTTCTCGGGTCTTTCCCGGGTGCCGGGGCCCCCGTGGGAGAAGGGGGCCCGGCGGGCGGTGTCTGACTCCCCTGGGTCTCGGCAGCCCTCAAGGGGGACGGCAACCTCTACAGCAGCCTGCCCCCCGCCAAGCGGGAGGAGGTGGAGAAGCTGCTCAATGGCTCTGCGGGGGACACCTGGCGGCACCTGGCGGACGAGCTGGGCTACCAGCCGGAGCACATAGACTCCTTCACCCACGAGGCCTGCCCCGTCCGCGCCCTGCTCGCCAGCTGGGCCGCCCAGGACAGCGCCACGCTGGACGCCCTCCTGGCCGCCCTGCGCCGCATCCAGCGAGCCGACATCGTGGAGAGCCTGTGCAGCGAGTCCACCGCCACGTCCCCCGTGTGAGCGTCCCCGTGCGCCCCGCCCCGCCTTCCGATGACGGATGCTCAGCCAGCCCCGGGGCCAGCGTCCGAGCTGAGCTCCTCTGGGCAGGGCTGTGGAGCCCGGGCCCCTAAGCCACGGCCCTGCCACTGACCCCATGTGGCCCCACCGCTTCTTCCCGCACCCCCTCTGCAGCGCCGGAAGTGCCCCTGCTGCTGCCCACCCTGCCCCTGCCCCTGCCCCTGCCCCCGCCCCTCACCACCTCTGGCCTTCCGCTCCTTCTCCCCACACTTCCCGCCGGGCCAGCTCCTCCCACCAGAGCAGCTGTCAGAGCTGGGGTGGCTGACACCAGGGGTGATGTTGGGGTGATGACCAGGCCCCCAGAGACTCAGAGAGAGACTGAGGACCCAGAGCCATGGACTCTACACTGTGAACTCGAGGAAAGAGGGAGCATCCTACACCCTCCCTCCGCCCCTCACATCCCCCCTCTGGCCAAAGATGAAGAGGATCGAGGGCTTGTCGAAGCGGGAAGCGGGGACTGACATGCAGTCCCACCCTCCCTGCTTTGGACTGGCCCACAGCCACCCAGCAACGGGGCGGCCGCCTGTGAGCTGGCTTCCTCCTTGGGATGGGGGGAGGGGGGCAAGCCTCAGCTCTGCTTACAGGCTGGGAGAGGGCGGCCAGGTGACCCTCCGGGGAGCGTTGTACAGCCAAACCCGGTCCTCCCTCCACCGTCTCCAGGCCTGTTCAATCCTGAGGGAGACAGGACGCTTTACCCAAGCTTTGGTCCACGGACCCATCCTAACCCAAGTCAGCGTGGGGTTTGGGGAAAGGGGTGCCCCGTCCCACTTCCTGCCCACCTCAGGCATGTCAGCGTGGCATCTGGGGTGTGGCCGGCCTATAGGTGCCTTCCATCCCGGCACAGACCCAGAGCCAGCATAGGCTGTGCTCGGGTTAGGGGCTAAGGACCCCCCACATACCACACACACACACACACACACACACACACACACACACACACAGACACGCACAGCGGATGAGAACTCTCTTCTCCGCGAGTTCTTTCTCGGCGGCTGGGACCGGATCCTGCCCGGGGCAGCTGCCAGAGAAGCATCACAGGGACTTGAACTCTGCTCGGCCGTCTCCCCTCGCCCCCGGGCTTGCCGGGCCAAGGACGGCTGAGGCTCGAGCTGGCGCCTGCCTCCACGGGCCTGCACATGGAGGAATGCTGCCCCCCCCCCCCCCCCGGGTTTGGCTGGGCCCCGAAGGTTGCTCGAAGACAATTGGACGGGTCTGGGAATGCAGCAAGAAGGAGCGGAGTTAAACTGTGGGCCCTGGACGGTCTGTCTAACGTCTCGAGGACTCTGCAAAGGACAGCTTTTTCCCTCGCTTGGTGCCAGGAAGGGGCCCGGAGGCCCCTCCTGGCCTGTTCTGTTTTGCTTGATGTTTGGAATGAATGGTTCCCCCCTCTATTTAGCATGAAGGAGCCCCGAGCAGGGGGGTGCACTGACAGCCACCCCCTCCCCCGCCCAGGGTTCCCCCACCCCCCACCCCGGCCTGGGACGGGGAGCGTGGTCTGTGGACGGCGTTCCTTGGCCCTCAGGCTGTGCTGGGAGAAGGACACTCACCTCGGGCCCCTCGCCGTGCACCAGGGCTGGGGCAGAATGGAGCGTATTTATTTTCCTCCCCAGCAGCCGGGAGGGGGTGGAGGGAGGCAGGTGTGGTTTAGCATGTGTGTGGTTCCGGGGCCCCTCCCCCCTCCCTCTGGGCGGAGATGGAACCCCTTGGGCCCCCCCAGCCGGGGGCTGTGAGCTCCAGAGCCCCCGACACCTCCCCCTTGCATCCTGTGTAACCACTTCTTGGGCCCTCCTGAAACTTACACATAAAACATAAACGATGAACATTAAATAGCAAAGAAAGGAACTCGGTGTGGTGACTTTCTGGGGACGCGCGTGTTTCGAGCTGGCAGAGGTTGGCTGTGTCCCAAGGACCCAGGTGCCGTTTCCAACTCCGTTCCCGTCCTGTGTCTCTGCCCGTCTCCCTCCTGTACGCACACAGCACACGGGGAAGTTTTAACAGAAACCCAGCCAGTTCACAGGCGCAGTAGCCAGGGAGTTAATTTCCGAGGGGGAGCCCTCCGGCCCGATCCGGGAGAGGGAAAGTGAACGTGGCTGTGCAGGAAGCCGGCCAGCTGCGAACTGGACCAGATGTCAGAAGTGAAAGTGACCACAGGGGAGCCAGAGGAAGGGCCAGATCACAACCCTGCAGGCTCCCAGCCACCCACGTGGCCCGGGGGACACTCCCCCGCCCCCTCCAAACACATGCACAGGCTCTGGCTCCAGCCGGGAGGAAGCCTGGCTGACTCGGCCTGGAGTTGGGCAGGCCCTCCCTGGTGGCTGGCTCTCCCAGGCAGGTCCCCGCTCTGGCTCCTGCCAGCCTGGCCTTGAGCCCTGCTTGGCCCGGCCTGGGAGCTCCCTGAGCTGCAGGGCTCCGGGCCCCAGGCCTGTTCCCCTCTCCAGGGCGGCCAGGTCAGAGCTGCTCAGCCCCTGCTGGTCCCTCAGCCCCTACTGGTCCCTCAGCCCCTGCTGAGCCCTCAGCCCCTGGCTCATGCTTGTTGGGAAAAGCACGGGAGGCTTGCTCTTCCTGGAAAGGAAAACAAACAGCCTTCCTGATCTCAGATTCCTGGGAGGGGTCAGCCGGGGCCCAGCCAAGAGGGAGGCGCGCTGGAGGGGCGGCTGTCTTCCATCTCCCGCCCCAGCCTGAGAGGAAGGAGTGCTGGGATGCCATCGGTGGGAGACATGGCCCCCACGGGGGTAACACCCAGTGTGCAGTGTGCTGGGGAGATGGTCTCTGTCTTGAGTGAACCTCCCGTCTGGTGGGGAGACGCAGTCCCAGGCTTGAGGGCATTCTCCTCGGATGAGGGAGGCACCACTCCTGCCCTAAGGGAGCCTCCGACCGTGCTGATGGGGGAAACACACCACACCTGGCGAAGGACAGCCCGATGCTGTGCCTGCGTGAACAGGCAGACGCAGATCCCCGCCCTCAGCGACCTTGCATTCTCCTGGGGGCACAGCAGACAGGCCCCGTATGGTGTGCAGCGCCCGCCAGGGGTGCGTGCGAGGTCCCGGCCAGACCCGCCCCTGCCAGGGGTGAGGGATGGTCCCTTAGAAAAGGGACGTTGAAGCTGCGTCCTTAGGGCTGAGGGGATCAGTGAGCTGGGGGAGGACAGGGTTCCCGGCAGAGGAAGCAGCTCGGCAAAGGCCCGAAGAGGCAGCAGAGAGCACCGGGGCCTGGGTGGAGCCCGGGGAGCGGAGGTCCGGGGCGGGCGGAGCAGGCCTCGCCGAGAGATGCTACGGCGTCTGGACTGCATCCTGAGGCACTGTGGGGCCGCCGAGGGCCTTCAGCAGGGCTCCCTAGACAGCTTGCAGTTTATTATTTTTATTTAAAGAACATATTTCAGCCGAGACCGGTTTGGCTCAATGGATAGAGCGTTGGCTTGGGGACTGAAGGGTCCCGGGTTTGATTCCGGTCAAGGGCATGTACCTTGGTTGCGGGCATATCCCCAGTAGAGGGTGTGCAAGAGGCAGCTGATCGATGATTCTCTCTCATCGATGTTTCTAACTCTTTATCTCTCTCCCTTCCTCTCTGTACAAAATCAATAAAATATATTAAAAAAAAAAAAGAACATATTTCAGAGAGGAAGGGAGAGGGGGAGAGAGAACTATCAATGATGAGAGAGAATCATGGATTGGCTGCCTCCAGCAGGCTTCCTATTGGGAACAAGCTACAACCCGGGCATGTGCCTGACTGGGAATCGAACCCGACCTCCTGATTCATAAGTCGATGCCAACCACTGAGCAACACTGGCCGGGCAACAGCTTGCCGTTTAGAAAGCACTGACTCTGGCTGCTGGGTGCAGGGTGAGGTGCAGCAGGATAGGCTGGGGGTGGGGCCCCGGGGGTGGGGAAAAGTGGGCATTCTGAGAAGTCCCTCAGAGCACACAGGGTTGGGTGTGGGGTAGAGGTGACTACCCTGACCTAGGACTCCTGGGGGTTGGGTGGCAGAGAGCCGTAAAGACATGGCACCAGAGATTTCTCCCCCCGTCCCCCCCAACACACTAAACTGCGGAGAAGCCATGTCTGCCCTCCTTCAGCCTCACCCGCACCCCCTTTTCTCCCGTTCCCCCAGGCGGGCTAATGGAAATGCTTCAGGAGCATCCCATTTAAAAAAAAAAAAAAAAAAAGTGTATTTTTATTGATTTCAGAGGAAGGGAGAGGGAGAGAGAGGTAGAAACACCAATGATGAGAGTGAATCATTGGTTGGCTGCCTCCTGCATGTCCCTCTTCCCCCTCCCCCACTGGGGATTGAGCCTGCAACCCACACATGTGCCCCTGAACAGAATCGAACCCAGGACCTTCAGTCCACAGGCTGATGCTCTATCCACTGAACCAAACCGGCTAGGGAAGGAGCTGCCTTTAACGTGGCCTCTAAGGGCTGCGTGAGGCCCCTGCCAATGCGCCCGCCACCCTCTCGCTCACTCTGTGCTCCCCAAACGCCATCTTATGCCTCTTCCAGCTCCGACGATCCCTCTGGCCACGGGCGTGAGCACATGCTGTGCTTTCTGTCCGGGACACTCTGTCCTTTTCTTTTCCAGGTTACCCCCCATCCGGCGCTTCGTCAGGGAAGCTCTCGCCATGCCCTGGCCCCAGTGCAGCCTTCCTGGTCCCGGGTTCAGAGAGCACCGCGCTCCACTCCTTCCCTCGCAGAGCACTTGTCTCTCTGCAGTTAGGCACCCGTCTGGGTGACTATTTGATTACTGTAAACCCCAGGAAGCCAGAGACAGCGTCTGGTTTCCCTCACTCTCTAATCCCCAGCACCTCGCCTGGCACAGAGCTAGCACCCAATAAAACCTTGCTGGCCGAATGAATGGCGTGCTCCGAATGAAGCAGTCCTGTCTGATAGAAAGAGAGTGCAAGTGGCATATGGGATTCTCATTTTTTTAGTAGCCACATTATAAAAAAGGA